AGATTGTAATTATGTTCCCTCTCACTTTTAACCTTTACAGGTTGAAAAATTCTAGTGTTTTTAGTCTGTTCTTTTATGTCAGTCCACTACAACCCACTTTTCTTCTGATGAAAATGGTGGGGTTTTTCTGTAACTGTTCTGGGTCTGATTTTTATCTTCACCAGTCAAAAAAAAATTCCACATTAGAGCAGGTTGGGGTGTACCATAGCTTTACACGGGAGGGCAGAACTAGAAAGTATTGTGCTTAAGGCAAATTCAGTTGGGAGAGAAGGTGAGCAGGGGCAGTCAGAGGGCAGTTATGCAGTTGAACTGGAAAAGGGCTGCTGCCTGTCCCCCAAAGAATTCAGCCCATCATGCCATTGATCAGTGGGAAAGGCAGAGGGAGGAGCCCACCACAGGAAGGGAATTTAGATGTGGCAAAGGCTGAGGAAGATAAGGAGATTGAGAAGCACAGAGGACAAATGTTGCTGTTCCAGGATAATTTGTGCCCTGGGACAAAGCCTTGTGGCCCTGTGCTATATTTGTGGCTCTGCATGAGAAAAAGAACATTTTCTGTTTTTCCTTTTGATGAACTTCTGAGAGCTTCTGTTAGTGGCAACAATATATACAAATTGAGCTAGAGTTCTCAAAGATTCGTTTACAGAAACCTCGGGACATCTTTCCTAAATTATCTGCTTCATTCATCCCATTCAGAGAGGATATACCAACAATCACTCCCAGCTATGCGATAGTGGAGTCAAAACACCACCAGGTTCAATTCTCCTCTCTGCAGTCTCTTGCCATTATTGCAAACTGGGAATCTCCTAGGACTGTATAGGATTTTTTTGTGAGACTTCTGGGCAACCAAAAAAAGGAAGAAGATTTGAAGACTGCAGGGAAGATGCGCTCTAAGAAAACAGGGGCGGAATGCCACGACTTATCATGGCGGGGTGAGGACGGCAGGGCTGCACCGGATGCATCCTCTGCAGCCCGCTGTCATTCACAGCACGCGGCTCTCTCTCTGCTTGGCACATTCACAGCCTTTAATAAAGTCCTCTCGCGAGACTTCTTCCAGAGCCGATGGTCCTCCAAGGCCTGTTGGCGGGGCAGAGGAACCGCCCCGGATGCTGTGAGTCTAGGCGTTAGATGGTACAGCTCTTCTATTGGTCCAGGGAGGACGAGGAATCAGGAGGCAGCCATTTCTAACGAACTGGAGCTAGGGGCGGAAGATGGCGGAGGCTCTGAAGAATTCTCTGGAGGACGAGAATACAGTGTCTTTCGCCTTCCGACAACTTCGGGACGTAATTGGGTCTCAGGAGCAAGTGATCCACCGGCTGAAAAGCTCGGTGCGGACCCTGATAGGCAGGGGGCGGGGCCGACCCCGAACGTCACAATGGACGGGGCGGGGCCTACTGGGAAGGGCGGGGGCGGGACAGGAGGCGGTGCCCGAGCGCCCCATTCTCGTGTCGGCAGGGGCGTGGCCAATGGCCGACCCTCTCGTTGTCAAGGCAACTGCCTGAGAATCTCCCTGGAATGGACCAGCTTCTCTGGCACTGCGCAGGGGACCCACGCAGCGCCCGGATGTGCCCCACTGCCCTCACAGCTCCTTCCCAAAGCTTCTGTGCCCCTGTCTCCAGTCCAGGTTCGGCGTTCTCCCGTGACCCTTACATTTACAGTAGAGTCTGGATCTCTTTGTCTTCGGCACCCCGCACGGGTGCAGAGCTCCACCCACCCCTCCCCCCTCCCCCATCTTATCCCGAGATGCTCGCAGGGTCTCGTAGACCTTGGCCGGGAGATCTACCCAACATGCCGTGCGCCTCCTACACCAGTGGGTTACACTGCAGGCCTGGAGCTGTTACCCACTCAGTCATTCCTGTCTGTGATGATACGTTTTATCCTAGTTATCCGTATAGGAATAGGGCCTTGACGAGGGGTTTCATTTCAGGTCCCCTGTAAGGAAAACCCTCTCTACTAAAGTCGGTCTTTGTGCTTTGGATCAGTCAGTCAGTCAACAGCATTTGTTAAGCACCTGCTTTGTGTTCTGGCACTGTGCCTTAAGGGCTGGGGATACAAAGAAAGGCAAGCACACTCACACTCAAGGAGCTCACATTTCAATGGAGGGAGGGGAGACAATAATAACTACATACATGCAAGATATATATGTATATGTATGTAAGATATACATCTATACATATATGCACACACCACACAGGGTAGCTGGAAGGTAATCTCAATTAAGTACTTCAATCGCTGAGAAGCCCAGAAGGCTCTTGCGGAAGGGATTTGAAGTGAGTCTTATAGGAAGCCAAGGAAATTTAAGAGAGGCCAGAGAGGTGAAGGGGACAAAGCACTCCAGGCCTGGGGCACAGCCAGTGCCTAGCCCCAGATTACAGAGCTCTCTGGAGAGGAATAAGTGTAAAGAGACAAGAAAGAGGTAGGAAGGAATCGGATTATGGAGCGCTTTGAATGCCCAAATAGGACTTTATATTTAATCCTAAGGCAGTAGGGAACCTTTGGAGTTTATTGAGGGGGGAGGGGAAATAACATAGACCTATGTTTGTTGTTGTTTTTAATCACCTTGTGAATTGAGTGAAGGATGAACTGGACTAGGGAGAGGAGGCAGGGAAAACAATAGTCTAATGGGCTAATAGTCTGAGAGATGTTGACAGTGAATAAGGTGGAAGCTGTATGAGTGGAGAGAAGGGGACTTCTATGAGGGGTATTGTGACAGTATAAGCTATAAGATTTGGCAATGGACTGCGTATGTGTGACAAAATGCAAGTGAGGATTTGATGATGACACTGGGCCTATGTGACTGGGAGAATGGTGGAGCCCATATAGTAATAGGGAAGTTGGGGAGAAGGGAGGTTTGGGGAATACTGATAATGGGCTCTATTACTTGGGAATCATATGCCTACAGATGCCTCTCAGTCTCTAGAGCACTGAAAAATTAAGTGATTTGTTTTCAGGGTCACACAGCCGGTATGTGTCAGAAGTATGACTTGAACCCAGGAGTCTTCCTGGCTTCAAAGTCAGCTTATCCACTCTGCCATTCTGACATTTTATTCCAGTTATTCCCCTGAAAGTCATCTTTGCAACATGCAGTGAGCCTGGGTATTTGAAAAAGCTATCCAGTAGGAGGGCGATTGGTTTTGTTCACCTTGGACACAGCTGTCAGGACTAGGAGCAAAGGAGAGGGTGTGGGGATGGGAGTGGGATTAGAGTCACAGGAAGGAAATCTTATTCTTAATACAAGAAAAACTTTTTAGACAGTAAGAGTTGTTCAAAGTAGAATGGGGCTGCCTTGGAACGTAGTGACTTTATCACTAGAAGTGTCTTTAAGTAAAAGCTTAAAGATACCTACATAGGACGTGTGCTTTCTTTTTAGTCTGGGGTTAGACTAGAAGAGCTTTATGGTCCCTTCCAAGTCTGCAATACTATGATACCACTTACATTCACCATTATTCTTTAGGTCACCTATGATTCTGATTCTTAAGACACGAGGTTTGGAGCCCTATATAGAATTTCCAGAAGGATGAGATGGGTTGGGACGGGACCTATTATCTTATAGTATAGGGAACTCCCCATGAGGAAATTTTCTTCCACCAATGCAAATTAGCACCTGCTCAACATTGGAAAGTTGCCTTTGGGAGTTGCATGTATGAATGTCAGAATACCGGTATTCGAAAGACAAGACTTTTGTTTCAGGGAGCTGCTGAAGGTCATTGAAAGTGCAGCATAATTTTCCTAATGCATTTCCACCTTGCACCCCCTCTTGTTCAACTCTATCCATTTCACTGTCTTATCAGCAGTGCTTATTCAGGATGGACTAACTTGGTGGGCTGCTCATCCATTATAATCTGGCCAATACCCGTTTTCTTTTTTAAAAGAAAGTAACATTTTATTTTTCAACTAACAAGCATTAGTTTTACCTCCCCCTCATACACACCCCCAAGAGAAAAAAAGAAAAGAAAAACAAAACTCCTGTAACAAGTGTGCATAATCAAGAAAAATAAATTCCTACACTGGCCATATCCAAACACATATTTCTCATTCTGTACTCTGAGTCTATCACTTTTCAGGAGATGGGTAGGACACTTACCATTCCTCCGTAAGTGTGGTTAGTCATTGCATTGAACAGAGTTCTCCAGTCTTTCCAAGTTATTTGCTCATGTTGTAATTGTATAAATTTTTCTTCTGGTTCTGTTCATTTCACTCTGCATCAGTTTGTACAAATGTTCCCAGGTTTCTCTGAATCTGTCCCTTTTATCATTTCTGCCAACACGTATTTTCCATCCTACAGAATCTCCTTGGATTTTTCTGTGCAAATTACTAAGCCAATCTTTTTTTTTTTTTATTGAATAGCATTGGATTTCATTTAGGATGGCACTTCAGAGCACAGGCCATTTACAGACAGGACTGTCTGGAGCATCTCCCCATCTATAGAGAATCCTCTTTTACTAGGACTTTGGTTGGGGTCTCTCCTCAATGACATAGTCAAGCATAGTCCCTGTTTGTTGCTTCATTTGATATAATCAGAATCATTAAATGAAAAGTAATTTCTGTGGTTCCATCTAGCTAGTAAAGAATCTTCTATAATCTTAACATATGCACGAGAGATACTTTTTTGGAAAAGAGCCCTTAATGCTGCATTTTGCTCTACCAAGTCAAATGCTTTTTGTAGTCAGTAAACAATGGATATAGCGGTATCTGGTATTCTTTATATCTGCAGCTATATAACCGCTACGGAAAAAATATCTGTGAAATACCTGCCTATTGCCTTATCGTATTTTCTTCAAGACTATCCTGGATGCATATGGAAACATTCTCATAAAGCTTTTATAAAGATCAGAATATAGACGTTGTTGTTGTTCAGTTATGTCCGACTCTTTGTGACACCATTTGGAGTTTTCTTGGCAAAAATACTGCAGTGGTTTGCCATTTCCATTTCCTTCCCAGCTCATTTGACAGATGAAGAAACTGAGGTAAACAGAGTTAAGTGACTTGCCCAGGGTCACACAGCTAGCGTCTCGAGGCCGGATTTGAACAAAGGAAGATGATGAGTCTTCCTGACTCCAGGCCTGATGCTCAATCTACTGGGCTGCCCAGCTGCCTAGAATATAGACATGTGAGTTAGTAATTGCTGATGTTCTTCTCCATCATCTTTTTTTTTTTGGTAATAACTTTGTGATTTTTTCCTTTTTTTAAAGATTTTGAAAATTGATCCCTGAGGGCCTTTAACATTGTCTCATCTTCATCAAGGATTTCTTCTTGGATTTGGTGGGGTCCAGCTGATTTTAAAGACTTCACTTCATCTTCTTAAATTCTTTATATATCACATCAGATAACTATGATGTTAAGAGTCTAGATCTGGGGGACAGCTAGGTGGTGCAGTGGATAGAACACCGGGCCTGGATTCAGTAGGACCTCAGTTCAAATCCAGCCTCAGACACACAACGCTTACTAGCTGGGTGACCCTGGGCAAGTCACTTAACTCCCATTGCCAAACAAAAATAAATAAATAAAAGAGTCTAGATGTGGCAATTCAGTGTGGATGACCAGTCATTTCCTGTCTGTCAATGAAAACAAAATTTATCTTTTTGTGATGTTGTCTGGTACTCACCTGTCTAGGACTTTGACTTTTTTTCTGGCTCTCTTCTGGAAGAAAATACTCATGATACAGATAGGGGCTTCTGAGTAGTCTATGTGCCCTTGATCTCTTTTTATTTCTTAATCCCAAACCTCATTGAAGTCACTGAGTATTTGCTGACTTTGTTTTAATAATCTACTCAGTTCTTTATATAATTTATTTCTTCATTCCTTGCAGCAAATGTGTTGGCATATAAACTACAAATTATCTTCCTGGTGGTCTTCTTGCTTATTCCCATCATAAGCATCACAAGCTCAGATGCAAAATGATGCTTCTCATTGTCTATCTCATTCCTAAATCTCTCATCCCCAAATTGCCCCTTCCAAATATCTTCCATTTATTCCCATGCCCTCTTATCCCTTCTAATCTCCTATTGAAAAAGGGAGTCTAGTAACATAATGGAAAGAACCCAAAAATTAGTTGTCAGAGGACCTGAGTTCAAGACCCAGCTTCCTTGGGCAAGTCACTTTTCACCTCTTGGTCTCAGTTATTGAATCTATAAAGTGGTATAATAGTTGTACCATGCCTACTGCACTGAAGAGGATCACATGAGAGAGAATACAGAGATGAAAGTGACCTTGGAAATCCTCTAGTCCAGCTTTACAGGTGAAGAAATTGAGGGCTCAGCTAAAAATGAAGTGACTGACCCAAAGTCCCACAGGTAATAAATAGCAGAGCTAAAATTCAAACCCAGGTCCTTAGACCTCTATATCCAGTGTTCTTTCCTCTACACAATGTTTGCTATGCAAACAGATGGAAAAACGTTTTTCATTCAATCAACAAGCAATTTTAAGAGCTTAGTGGATGCTAGGATACAAAGGGGGGAAAAAATGAAACAGCCTCTACTTCATGGAGTTTATACATTCTATCAGAGCAGATAATATTACACTATGCATATATATATATATATAAACTATATAGACATATATACTTACGTACCAAATATATATACTTCTACAAACTAAAAACCATGGTCTCCAATCTTTATAATTGTATTCTGTCATTGCAATGCCAAGCCTTTCAACCAGTCCAAGCTCTGACCTAAAAAGGATGGGGGATAAATTGTATAAGAGATTAGTATTAATATTCCCAAACCATTCATTAGCTGCTCCCACCCTACATCCCCTTATTCCCTTTTCTCCTCTGGCTTCCAAGGCCTTTTTGGTCTCTGGGCTTTAATTCTCTCCCAACCCTGTGGTTGCATTGCAGATGGCCATCCAGGAAGAGAAATTTGTGAGTAAAGAAGAGTATGAAGCTGTGGTAAAGAAGTTGGAGGTAAGAGGGCCCTTCCCTCTGCTTCTTCCCATCCCTGAGAGTTTGGGTGGGAGGACAAGGGAACAATAGAATAGAAAGGAAAAAGGACTGGGATCTTTGAGATCTTATACCCATAGCCCCATGGGGGCAGGACAACAAGAGCCCTCCCTCAGACAGGAAACACTCTGATCTCTCCAGGGCTCCTGGCAACCCCAGAGTTAGCCTCATCTGGTTGTGGGGGGATGTGGAGGGGTAATGCTAATTGAGGGATCTGTGATTACAGGAGGAAAAGGCAGCCCATGCCCAGACCAAGGGCCTATTGGCTAAAGAGACAGAAAAATTACAATTTGCTCTTGGAGAGGTGGAGGTGCTGTCCAAGCAACTGGAGAGAGAGAAGCAAGCTTTTGAAAAGGCGTAAGTGGGTTCTGTGGGGAAAAGGGGGGTGGAGTAGAGGGGAGCACCAAGAAACCAGCTGCCTCCTCCCCTCACTCAGACATCTCATCCTTTCCAATTTAGGTTATCCAGTGTCAAAAACAAAGTTCTGACAGAGTCCACCAAGAAGGACAAGCTTATCACCAAGTGCAATGGTAAGGGGGAAGGCCCAACCATTTTCCCTAAAGAGGAGGACAAACCCAGTCCTCGTTGGGCCATGGGGAATGAACAAGGGGACTGAAGAAAAACTAGAGACCAGAACAGATAAGACAAGTAGCTAGAGAAATGGATACATTATTAACTGGTATTTAGATTGAAAATGAAGATGTTAGAAAAAGCTAATGGGATCCGTACACAGTAGCAGCAATACTATGCAATGAACAACTGTGAATGACTTAGCTATTCTCAGCAATACAATGACCCAGGATAATCCCAAGAGACTCATGAAGAAAATTGCTATCCACCTTCAGAGAAAGACTGATGGAGTCTGAATGCAGATGGAAGCATACTATTTTTTGTTTTCTTTCTCTTTTTTTAGTTGGAGTTTTCTGCCACAAAATGACTAATATGGGAATGTTTTACATCATTGCACATATATAACCTATATCAGATTGCTTGCCATCTCAGGGAGGGAAGGAAAGCGATAGAATTTGGAACTCAAAACTTAAAAAACAAAACAATGTTTAAAAAACTGTTTTTACATATAATTGGGGGGAAATACAGTATTATTTAAAATGCTAATTTGATCTTAGGAGAAGGAATAGTACCCAGAATATTGATGGCCATCACTAACTACTAAACCATGGAGCCTACTTTGCTAACTCTACCAAGTCTTGATGAGAATAATCTACACGTGCAGAGAGAGGGCATCCTTAATGAAGGAGTGAGAAAGAAACAGCATCCTTAAGCACCACACAGTTAACTGGAAAGTCCAGGGAATGAACACGAGATCCCACTATGCTCATTCTTTGGGGACATAAACAAGCATGTGATTCGTTAGAGCAAAATGCTGCCTTAAAAGGCTTTCCACTAATAAGAGAGCTCTCCCATGCCCAAGTCAAAATCTTGCAAGATTCCTTGGGAGATGATGTAACAAGAATAGTAACTTTGTTCATTGACCCCCCCCCCGAAGTATTAATATCAAGTAAAGCATAAAACTGAGACCTGTTGTTGGCCACAACCATGAAGAATATCTCACACAAGAGTCCAAATCAAAGAGGGGCTGCCTGTACCAGGAGAGATCCAGACAGAACAGTGGCAGGGAGTCCTTCAAGATAAAGAAGGGTCTAGGGGGGCCCCTGTTTACAGATGTTTACAGGCTACAAGGAAGGCCACTGACCTGGACCCATCCAGGAGAGGGAGAAAGAGAGACAGACAAAGACAGAGAGTGCAGGATCATGCTGGGATTTGAGAACCATAAAACAATGATTGACGTGTATCTGGTGCTTTAATGAAGCCCTCTTTCATTATCTCAAATCTAGGATGAAGTAGGAGGTATTATTAGCTCCATTTTACAAATGACAAAATTGGAGCTCAGAGAGTTTTGAGGGTCACACAGCTATTAAAATGGGATTGGTGCTTGTCATTATTCAGTCATTCAGTTGTGTCTCACTCTTTGTGAGACCATGGACTATAGCATGCCAATAATATGCATGGGATTTTCTCGGCAGGGATACTGGAATGGTTTGCCATTTCCTTCTCCAGTTGGATTAAGGCAAATAGAAGTTAAGTGATTTGCCCAGGGTCACTCAGCTAGTAAGTATCTGAAGCAGGATTTGAACTCAGGTCTTCCTGACTCCTGGTTATATCCAGGACTCTATCCACTGAGCCACCTCGCTGCCTCAGGTTGGAGCCTATGTCTTCCTAACTCCGTGTCCAGCACTGTATCTCCTCTAGTACTCTTCTGTCTTCCTGTGACTTAGAACATAGGAAGACTAGTTGAAAGGACTAGACATGGTTAGCCTTGAGAAAAGAAGACTCCAGTGGGGGATGGTGTGATAGCTGCCTTGAAGGGCTGTCATGAAGAAAAGAAATTCTTTTGGCCCCAGAGGCAGATCGAAGCACCATCGGTGTAAGTTACAGAAGTAGATTTCATCTACATGTAAGAAAAACTTCCCAACAATTAGAGCTACCCAAATTAGAATGGGATGACATAAGCATTCGTGAGTTTCTCTTCACTACAAGAGATCTTCAGGTGAATACTGGACATCTGTTTGTTGGGGATGTGCTGTGCTCAGTGCTTACCAATTTTTCTTGGTCCTGTGCTTTCCCATGCCCTCTATTCAATATGAAAGGAAATAAATTCTAGAGTTCACCATGCATATGCACATAAGAAACCAAATAGCGATTAACTTTTCTTCTCACTGGGGACACCAAAAATTTTACTTCATTGATTGGTATGAACTTTAGTTTGGAGTTTCTGGAGTATTCCGCTTGACTAATAGAGTTATTTAATAAAGACTCCCCATTGCCCTATCGTTGGCAGGCTTTCTTGTATTCCATGAGGGTGGGAGGCATGCATACCCTAGGCTGGGAACCCCTCTGTAGATGTTGTGCAGAGGTCAAATATGGATTGGAATGGGTAACCTCTGAATTCCCTTCCAATTCTACAACAGACAAAGTGTGAGATAGCAAGACCTGGATTGAAATCCTGTCTCCATTATTTACTAGATGGGTGACCCTGAACCCAGTTATCTACCTGCTTCACTTTCCTTACTATAAAGTGAGGACAATAATAGCCTCACAGGGTTGCTATGAGACCCAAGTGAGGTCATGTTTATAAGCACTCTGCACACACTAAAGTGTAATGTTAGTTATTTAATAACATCATTTCCCTGAAACCCACCCCCTCCAGACTTGTCTGTTTCTGTCAAGGGCACCATCATCCTCCCAGTCATCCAAGTCCATCCCTCAAGAGTCAGTCTTGCCTCTTGCATTACCTTCACGAGCCCCTTAGATTCAATCGGTTGTTGAATCCCATCAACTCCCCAGAACACCTGCCTCTTCCATTCATTCCCTTCTCTCCACTGACTTAGCCACCTAGACCCTAGTAGTATAGACCTTTACCTACTTTTCCCAAGAATCCTGAAATAACCTCCAAACAGCCCTCTGCTTTCCAATCTTTCTCTTTTCTAACCTCTTTCACATAGCAGCTATCAAAATAATTTTCCTCAGACTCTGCTCAGACTTTTCAATGTAAACAGCATTTTATCTTTTCCTATTCCATGTAAAGATAGTTTTCAGCATTGATTTTGTATAAGATTTTGAGTTCCAAATTCTTCTGTCTCCCTCCTCCCTGAGACGGTAAGCAATCTGATATGGTTATAGATGTGCAATCGAGTTAAACATAGTTCCACGTTAGTCATGCTGTGAACGAAGAAACAGAACAAAGAGAAAACAAACAAGAGACAAACAAAACCAAAGTGAAAACAGTATGCTTTGATCTGTATTCAGACTCCACCAGTTCTTGTCTGGATGTGGACAGCATTCTCCATCATGATTCTTTTGAAATTGTCTTGGATCATTGTATTGCTGCTTTGCTCATAAACCTCCAGTGACTGTTGCCTCTAGGATAAACATTTGAACTACTTAAATGACATTTAAGGTCTTCTGTAATCTGGCTGTACCCTAATAATACTATTATTCCTTTTCCTGAACATTCGAACTCAACTGAATTCCTAATTGTTCTCCAAACACAAATCCTCCCCGTCCTGACTGTACTTTCACACAACCTGATCTCCATGCCTGCAATGCCTTCCCTCCTTCTTTTCTCCCTCCTCCTCTTTGTCATGTCTTTGTTAAGCAAGGCTCAGCTCCAACAGAGACACGACAGGGACGCTGACTCCACTGTGAAGCTTGTTTTCCCTGATTCCTCCAGTTATCAGTCCTTCCTCTCCCTCATCAAATGGCCTTCTTATAGACCCTCATCCCTAGGAGAATGTAAACTCTTTGAGGACAGGGACTTTCATTTGGGTTTTGTATCCTCAGCACCTTCCGTAGAGCCACCCAGAAAACAGATGCTTAATCAATGTTTGTTGAATTGAATTGAAGATTGGAGAAGGGGTAGGTTTCAGGAGGAAGATGAGTTCACTTTTGGACCTACTGAGTGTGAAATGCTGGTGGAGCAACTGGGTTGGTATGTCAGGCAGGCAGATGGAGATGTGCTGAACTAGCATTCAGGAGAGGGGTTAGGGGTTCAAAGAGAGTGATCAAAATGGTAATTTAACATGTTGCTGGAGTGCTTAGCACAGTGCCTGCTGGCACGTAGGAGGAACTTCATAAATGCTTACTGATTGACTGGAACAGATGAGGTCAACGTGGGGACATCCCAAAGCAGTGACTCACAGCTCCTATTAGTGGAAAGAGCTGTGCCAAAGTGGGTCTTTGCCTGGATTTGGGAAATGAATTTCTGTTCATCATCTTATGCAATTCTTGTTAACAAGGTGGAAAGCCATGGGTTAGATGGATGAATCACCAGACTCCATAGAGGCATTATTAGTGGGTTGATGTCAGAAATCTCTTGAAGTGGCTGAAGAATCTTATCTGTGTTGGAGACTGTGGTGTTTAATTTTTGTTTTTAATCAGTGACTTGGATGAAATAGTGTAGGTGGCTCATCGATTAGATTTGTAGATGACACAAAGCTAGGGCAAAGGACATTTGTGTTGGATGACAGAGTCATGATTCAGAAAAGAGCTCATCAGACCATGTATAACAATGGGCTTAATATACGATTTTGGAATCTAATAGGGACAAATGTAAAATCTTTTACTTGAGTTTAAAAGAATTGGCTTTATAAGATTAGGATGGAAGAGCATCGCTAGATAAGAGTGCCAATGAAAATGTTCCTGTGGGGAGGGCTAGAAGACTTCCAGGCTCATGAGTATGTTATGAGGCAACAGTTTGAAACTGTAACCAAAAGAAGTGATGTGATATTAGGCTTCATTCAGGGTCCAGAATGATGACGGGGATAGTCTCACTGTACTCTGCCCTGATTTGTCCAAATCTAGAGTACCATCCAACAAGTTTGAGCCATTCCAGAGGTTGAGATAGTCAGGATAATGAGGGCACTGGAGATAATGCAATATGAAGACTGGGGATGTTAAACTTGGAGGTAAGAAGGCTTACACGGGAGGGAAAGAATCATTGTCTTCAAATATTTTGGCTGCTGTCGTACAGGGACACCATGAAATGAGAACCTACAGTCGCCTCAAAGTAAACCTAGAAGCAGTGCATGGACGGGGTACAGAGAGACAGTGAAACTCCACGTAGGGGAAACCTTTCTTTTTGGGGGGAGAGGAACCTTTCTAACAATTAGATCTTTCCAAAAGTGGAATAGGCTGCCTTGGGAAGCAGTGGGTTCCCCTCCCCTGGAGACCCAGGGATGTTATAGAAGATGTTGTTTTTTCAGGTATGGACAAAAGGACCTCTGATATCCCGTCCAGATCTGAGATTCTGTAATGTTGTTTAACCTGAACTCCTGGGCAGGCCTCCCAACTTGCCAACATTTTGGCTTCAAGATACCAGAAAAAAAAAATCTTTAAGAAACATCAAAAAGGCAGAATTTTATGATTCCAGTCAGAGTAACGGTACAATTTGAAGTCAGAAGGCCTGAGTTCAAATCTTAACCCCACTATTTAACTATTTTTGTGACCTTGGGCAAATCATTTTCCTTCAAGGAGCTTCTGTTTCCTCCTCTATAAAATCCAAATTCCCGAATTTCTAAGTGGGCTGGTTTATTTAAGGCTCCTCCTATCTTTAAATTCTATGATCTGCTGCTCCTCTTTCCAGGTGCCCAAGGTTCCATAAAGGTCCAAGCTGCCTGCCATGGTGCCAGGCATTGACCTTTGTACATCTTCCCTTGGTAAGGCCCGTCTCCTTGACCTTAGGCCTTCACTGCATCTAGAGGTCTGGAGTTTTCCCCAGAATCTCCAGGAAAGGAGCCTGACATTATCATTCCTTGTTAAACCAATGACTTCTTTTTATAAGCAGCACAATAGAGCTTTTTTTGATTGTAAGAGGGTTAGCTTGGAGAGGAGTCTTCTCTCACTCAGGTGGACCCACTCTTTGCAGCTGGGTTTCTTCTAGGAAAACTCATTCACAGGGAGGTTTAGGAGTGTCTGAAGTTTGAAACAAGACCCTGGTGAGGGTAGTACTTAGCTCCACAGAAATTACCCTAAGTCTCAGATTTCAAGCATTCACTCCTCTGTTCCTGGGACAAGAGACCTCCCCTTCTCCCCTAGTCTGGGTGTTTGATACCTCTCTCCTTCACTTCAGAAATTGAATCTCACATTATAAAGCAAGAAGATATTCTTAATGGGAAAGAAAATGAAATTAAGGAACTACAGAATGTCATCAGCCACCAGAAACAGATCTTCAGGTACGGAATCTGGATCCTCCTTCAGCTAAGGGGTTTGGATGTCTAGGGAGGAACCTGGGCATTGAAGGGGGGGTGGGGGGAGGGAGGCACTGACTCTCCAACCTCCCTGATGGGTTCCTGCCCCAGCAGCTGTCTCAGGCCTATCCCATGTGTCTCTGTTGCAGGCATCAGATATCAGACTTCCGGATTCAGAAGCAGCAAGAGAATTACATGGCCCAAGTGCTGGACAGGAAGCAAAAGAAGGCAGGCGGGCTACTCTCCACCCGGGGCTTCAAGGGACTTGGAGACAAATAAATCTGCTTCCACTTACCTCTTTTCTCTGTCCTGACCTAAGTAAGGGCCCTCTCCTAGGCCCTATTATAATAGAACCTCAGCCCTTCCCCGTTTACTGGATTTGTCCACTTAAGTTGGGCTCAATCAGACTTTGCCAGGATGGTCAAGGAACCTCATTGTAGCCTCCTTTCCTCTCCCTGGTTCCCCTTGGGAAGGAGATCTTAAGCAGATGGCAGGCCCTTCTGCCTGACCAGTCTTGGGCAGCATGCGTGGGATTGGGGGTGGAGCTGATAGGACATGACCTGATTCTGGCATCCGCCCCTGCACCTGCCACACTGGACCCAGCACTCAGAGCTCAAACAGAAAACTGCCCAGAGAAGGGATACTCAGATTAAACACTCTCCCACCCTACTTTCTTTCTAGATGGATCCCCAGAGTTGGTGGGATGTAGGGGGCTGAACTGTAGCCTATGCAGAAGTGCTGAGGTCTGGGCAACTGGGGGGTCTCAGGGGGAATTCCCTCCTCCAATGGCTGCCCCACCCTTGTTTGGCCCTTCCCTTCATAAGCACTCCTCGTTACTCTGGTAACCCCTTACCCCCACCCTAGGGTTAAGTTAACTTGCTTAATTTAGCTTCCAGAGCTGGGGAAGCTTCTAGGCTGGAAAATGATGGGGGATGGGGGAGCACTAATTGGGAACTTCCCAATGCTAGGCCTCACAACCCACAGCAACAGAAAGCTCTGTCCTGAAATGGATCTTTAGTTGGATTTCAAAATTAATTTCTTATATTATTCATCATCATCTCTTACATATGTTTAATATTTTATTCAAAGTATCTGCACAAACATTATCACAATGATCCTCAACCCTTAGAAGGTTAAGCATTATGATTATTTTAATGAGAAATCAGAAAGGTAGAGTTGACTTGCCCAAAGTAATGCCATTAGGTGCAGAATTATTCCTGAGCTAGGTGGCCAAGGCCTCTGGTGCATAAAAAAAAAATACAAAAAAAAGGTAGCACAATTTCCACCAACTATATGTGATATCTATCTGTGGATCTGTCCTCTTCCAGGTGCTTAAGGTGCAAGGGAAATGGTAAATGTGGGTCAGGAGAAAAGTTTGAAATCCCCAGGGCCGCTGCTTTCCGATTAAGCCCACCCAGAGAATAAGGACATATTTAACTCTGATAAATGCAGATTCTGACTTGTAATAAATTCCAGACTGGTTTTGAATGCCACAGCCTTGATCCTCATGCCTCCTCAGCAGTTTGCCAATGTTTAAAGCTTCCTCACCTGCTACATTGTAGCTGGTCAGAGGAATCAGGGCCCCGAACACTCAGTACTGAACAGCAAAGGGCCTGCTGATAAGACTTACAAAGTTTTAGGACAAAAAAAGGTAACAGGAGGAATAAAGGACAATACTCCTTTGTTTACTATGGGGGTGGGGAAGACAACGATAAATTCATGACAATTTTTACTCCCAAGAATGTGCTGGGTTTAAACTTACGTTATATCTGAGTGGTTTCTTAAGAGTCCTCTATAAAAGGAGTGAACTAATTGACCTCCAATGTTCCTTCCAAAAACACTCTCTGAAGTTTGGGACCTGCAGATAAGAAGAAGCTGTGTGGAAGAAATCTGGGGCTATAAAAAGGCAATTCATGTTCCCCAACAAACCAAACCGAAATGCACTCTAGCTCCCCTTCCCCCAATACCTTCAGCTCCAAGGTCGATGCAAAGTAGCTAAACTTTCTCTTCGCTTTCCTCTCGACCCAGGAATCCCGCCCAGCTTTGGGAACTTGGGCCCTGGGTGGTTGGGGATGCGTTGAGCCACCTATACTTACTTTCTTAAAAGTTCTTTCACAAACGATAACATGAAAAGGAGAGGTCTCAGAAAGCCTTCGTCTACTTAATCTAAAAGGATGGAGTGTGCTGTTGGTAACTAGCAAGGGAAGGTGGGGGTGGGGGGGAGATGCCAGAGACACAAAAATCCAAGACTGAAACTCAGAACTTAGAATTGGAAGTGCCCCGATGCCCCGCAGGTGTTTCTTTGAAACACCTTCAGAGACCCTTTGGCTTTCTGATCTCGGTTCCCGGGAGGGGGGGGATGTCCCCGTCTTAGCCTCCAGCTGGGGGGCCCTGCCACAGTTCGCCCCCGGCCGCATTATTATCCCCGGTCTGGTCTCAGCTCCTCCAGGACGGCCAAAGCAAGGAGCAGTGAACCGGATGGGGAGGGGAGGGTGGAGGAAGGCACTACTGGCCGTAGCCAGCCCGGGCAGCCGCTGGCTCGGGTTCAGATGCGGCCTCTTTAAGGCGCTGTGACCCGGCCGTGCCGGGACCCCGGGGCGGGGTGTGTGGGCAGGGGACAGAGAGGCTGGAGGCGGCGGCGGCGGAGGCGGCGAACTTCTGCGCGTCCCGAGCCCCGGCCCCAGCCGCTGCCGGCCTACACCATGCTCTCCATCCTTGTCCCTCCGGCCGCGGGCGGCTTCCCCTCTGCCCTTGCACTGCGCCAGGACTCCTCGGGCTCCTCTGGCTCTTACCACACCGCGCCAGGCTCGCCGGAGCCCCAGGGGCCGCGCCCCGTCCTGGACGGGGCGGACGATGACGGGGGCAGTGGAGTTCCTGGGCGGGGGCAACCGGCAAAGTTTGCGGGCCAGAACGCCAGGGTCCCTGGCCGAGGGGCGGGCCAAGCCAGGAGCGGGGGCTCGCAGCTTCGCCTGTCCATCAGTGCCCAGAATAGCCGCCAGGAGCCTGGATCCGGTTTCCCCAAGAGGCCGGGACAGCGCCCGAGCCCTTTCCAGCTCCGCACCCTGCCGTCGGGGGAGATGGAAGTGATCTTCACAACCGGGCCCCTAGGTGGGACTCCCGTTCAGTCCCCCAGCGACTCGGACGAGGCGGACAGCGAGGTGCAGCAGCTCACCGCGCTCAGCTTGCATAATTTGTCCCGCCCTCAAGGCCCTTACCTCGACGTGCATAGCCCCAGCGCGCAGGCCTCCTCCAGCCCATCCCCAGCTCTCTCTGACAGCAGCAACCAAGCAGACCGCTGGGCCACTTACCTGGACCTGCGTCAGGAGGCTGAATCTTCTGCCTCCAGGCTGCCAGAACCCCCCGCCACGTCCGGGAGAACCCAGTTCGAGTGCGTGGAGGTTGCACTTGAAGATCAGGCATTCCCGACTAAGCAGAGAACTGTCCCCAAGAGGCAGATAGAGCTGAGGCTGAAGCCGAGCCCTCCGGAGCTGGATTCAGCTGGGACTAATGGGGTCCCTAGGCGCAAACTGTTTCTGCGAACCGGCTCGCTGGACGAGTCTCTGACCCGCCTGCAGGCCGCCTCCAACCTCGTGCAAACAGCACTGGCCAGGAAGCTGCAGACCGAGCAGACACTGAGCCCAGAGCAGTCAAGCCCAGGGGGCGGAGCTCAGCCCATCCAGACCCAGCCAAGTCCTCGGCTCTGTTCCGACTGCGATACCCAGAAGCCGGCGGATTGGCCCCTGGCTTGGCCTGAGGCCCGGGAGAGCGAGGCCCCAACTGGACGTACTATACGAAGCCCTCGAAGAGACTCAAAAGAACTCAAGCCCAGAGGGACCTCTCAGGCCGGACTTCCCCCGAGAGATCCGGCGAAGGAGGCGCCTCTGCCCCCGGTCAAGCCCACAGGATTGCGGGCCCCAGACGGGGTAGTTTCTAGTAGAGTACCGAGGCCCTGGCCCAGTCTTCGAGAGCGAGCTATTCGTCGGGACAAACCAGCCCCCGGGACAGAACCACTCGGTCCCGTGAGCTCCAGCATCTTCTTGCTGTCGGGGGAGAAGTCCCAGGAAACTTCTAAGTCTCGGTCCCGCAAAGAATGGGGCCAGCAGCCGAGATCTCTGTCTCCCAGGAGGACGCCAGAGGATCGGGTGATCCAGGAGACTCCCAGTCTGTCTTCCCAGGAGACTAGGGATCCCGCCGTTCAGGCGACGCTGATTCTGTCTGTGCAGGAGGCTCCCAATGAAGCTCCAGGAGGCTACATCTGCGCAGTCAACTCAGGATCCGACTGTGAAGGGACCTCAGATTTCACCTACGCTGGAGACTACAGTTCCAGATGCTGGGGAGCCCAGAGACGCCCCCGCTCCCTCTGGCAGATCCCGAGTGACAATTCCTCGACCTCGGGACGTACGGAAGCTAGTGAAGAACACCTACTCGCTGAGCTTCCCAGCTGCCGCCAGTTCCAGCCTGGGACTGCCTGAGCCTCCTTGCGCTCCCGGGGGCCCCAGCGAGGAGAGCGAGGCTCTGCCGGGAGCTCCAGAGCCCCCTGCTCCTGTTCACTACACTTCTACTTTCCAGAAGAACTTCCTGCCCGTAGTGACCCATCCCTATGAAGTCCCGGAGCCGCCGATCACTGAGGCAGTGGGCGTAAGTGACTCTGCTCCTCTTAGCCCCAGCGGAGCCCCTCAGGGCCACCAACCTCCCCAGCCTCAGCGCCAGCCAACGGGCCACGAAAAGGAGATCCGACCCCGCGGAGGAAAGCAGAGAACAATACAGCCAAGCCTTTTGCTCGTAGCGAGATCCGCCTCCCGGGAGCCCTGTCTTTGTCCAAGAAGCCAGGGGTCAGGGCGCAGCCTGAGTCCTGCACCAAGATCAGCCGTGTTTCCTCACGGTACAGTCCCCAGGTCCAGCGCCTCCTTCCTGAAGGAGAGCTCCAGGCCAATTCCCCAGGGGTTACCCTGGGACCTCCCCCTGTCCCCAAGGAACCAAAAGAGAGGCCAGAGGTGGAAACGCACTGTCCACCCCAGTGGCCAGGGGCTAGGCAGACACCTAGCTCCTTGACAGGGCCCCCACATCCAGACCTCAGGGGCTCCCTCAACCTGAGGTCCCCACACTCTGACCAGGCCAGTTCCCTGGCCCTACAGGCCCAGAGCCCAGAGCCTGGGGCCAAACCCCAACCAGGCCTGGCTGGGACCCATCCCTCAGGGAACCAGATTGCAGCCAAACCTGCTTCCCTATCCCAGCCCAGGGCAGCTTCGGCACCACCTATGACCCAGGTCCTTGACAGCCCCTTCCGGGGCCGGGATAGGGGACTTCGGAACTCTGGAACCACCCCATCAGGGAAGGTTCTGGTAGATCCAGAGAGTGGTCGCTACTATTATGTGGAGGCACCCAAATCTCCTAAGTTAAAGTTGCTCTTTGACCCAGAGAGTGGTCAGTACCTAGAAGTTCTTGTTCCCCCTTCCCCAGCAGGGGCACCCCTCCGGTTCTGCCCTTCCTTGGCACTAGGGCACAGCCTCTATCCTTCTCCCTATGGAGCCTACCCTGGGCTCTCACTACCTCCTTCCCCTGGACCCTTGCCTCTTGGTCCCCCTGACCTGTTGGCCCCAGGAACCAAACTCCCCTGGGCTCCTGAGGGAGGCACAGTGGATGGGCTCTATTACCTGCCCACAGGCAGTTCCCCTAGCCCATTACCTGGTCTTCCTCTACTTCTGTACTCTGGGCCTCCCAATTCTGGGCCTTCTACCACTACCAAAGGCTCACCATTTTGAGTGTGAAGACTCCCCCCAGGCCCTGCCCACACCCCATTTCCCCCATAGGTCCCGCCAAAAGGGGCTGTTATTCCAGCAGAGGCCCTGAACCCAACCTAGCTCTAAACCACCCCTCAGTTCCTTTAGCTTGGCACCTTTCTGGCACACACCCACTCTAGATCCCAATCCTACCCCCAAGTGACTTGCTCTTCTTTGCCTTTTTTGATTCCAATTTCCCACCTCCACATCCACCACTACTACTCCCCACCACACACACCCCTGCCCCAGGCTACTCAGACCCTAGATCCCATTGGGATATTATTGTGGCTGTGCCTCCAAACCCCATTCCCCAGGGTACTGCTGAGGATGGAAGGGGGAGTTCAGAGAGGAACTGTCATCCCTTCTTCCCAATGTGTTCAGTTCTTTCCTGTGCCCTGGGGGAGTGGAGGCACTGATGTCAGTTATATGATTGTGTGTCTGACGTGTGCCCTGTCACTAGTGACAGCCCAAGAAAGTGGATGGCGGAAGGTATGAGCCAGCAAGAGGTATGAATCAGGTTTGGGAGAATAGGTTTGGGAGTTATACTGACCGCTGAACTCAAGATACAGGTTCCTTCTTGCAGTCAGAAAGAAAGAGAAGTAGCGTGTTCGTGTGGGGTTTGGGGCAAGATTTGTGCCAATTTTGAAGAGGTCTAGGAAAGAGATGGGAGACATTAAGCTCATAAGAGGCTGTTAGTAAAGATTCAGCAAATCAAGCAAGCAAGAAGCATTTATTAAGCACCTACTATGTCACTGGTACCGACAATAAAATAATCCCTACAAAGTAAGAGAGAGGGATTGGGGAGGGGGGAGGAATAATGAGGCAGTCCATGGTGGCCAGCTTGAAGCTGGGAGGTTACAGCTAAGATAACAGCAGCAGATTCCTCCAATATGACTCTCCTCTCCCCATGAAAAAACACCACCACAACACCCTAGCTTAGATTCTTTTCTCCTTTAGAAGTGGTTGAACTTTTGTTAGTCAAATAGTTTCCAGTTAGGAGAGAATCTTAGTAATCATTTAGTCTAGCACTCCCCTTTTCATATGAGGAAACTGAGTTTCAGTGAGGGAAAGTGACTTACCCAAAGTCATTTAGCAAGTTAGGTCTTGAAGAGCCAGGAATTCCAGTATCTTAACATTTCCAGCAGTGAGAGTTATTATACAGAAGTGAATGAGCATCACTTCTTTTTGTTTTTGTTTTTTTTCTGAGGCCATGGGGTTAAGTGACTTGCTCAGGGTCACACAGCTAGTAAGTGTAAAATGTCTGAGGCCAAATTTGAACTCAGGTCCTCCTGACTTCAGGCCAGTGCTTTATCCACTGTGCCACCTAGCTGTCCCTGAGCATCACTTCTGAAAGGTCTCCCAAGGCTGGACCAGTTAAGTGTTTCGAGGGGATGGGATGAATGAGATGACCTGTTCTCCAGGTCCTTTCCAGAGAGTCTCTGATGCTGTGCTAGGGAGCTTTAGACCCCAGTTGTTTCTCCAGGTTGAACTGGGAATTGTGACTGGGGAGTGGGATGAGGTTGTTGGGCATGTTAAAAAGTATCTCCCTCTCTCGGCTCCAGATGTGCGCTGTCCAATGAGAAGTGCAACCCTGATTGAGCCCAAGGAACATTAAAGAGGGAGGTAAAAGTGGGGTCTGGAGCATACATGTGAACAAAGCTCCAGGATGGGCAGGCTGTGGACAGGGAATAGGGGAGTGGAGTGTGTGTGTGTGTTGGGGGTGTTGATGTGGCACCTGTGGGTTGTTGATTCAACTGCTCTATGCCTACTGCTTTTCCTGGTAAGAAGTGTCTTTAGAGAGAAGGGAATCCCCTGTCCTGAAATAGCTGGCTGCTGCCTTCTTTTGTTGCAAAATTATATTTTCCCCTAGACTCCCAGGACCCCTGCCCAGGGAGAGAAGCCCCTTGGGGAGAGATGCTAGGAGAGGACAACCCAAATTAGCTATCAGGGGTTCCTAGATCAGGCAATCTTTGCATTTGTTTCATGTGTGTAAAATAAAGTGTCCGCCAAAGGAACTGTGGTCAGTAAACCAAAATATTGTTTGGTCATCTGGTTTTTTGGCACTAATCCCATCAACTTCTATGCCTCTGAAGTTGTCATCTTGGTTATAAAAAGAAGCCTCTATCTCACATAGAAGGCAGATTCTGAAGAAGGAGGAGAGGAGGAGACATCTCCTCTCACCCCTACCCACTGAGTGATGCTGGTACCTCTAAGTTCAAATAGCAGTTCAGACATTAGATTGCCATATGAACTTGGCTGAGGGTACAGACTCCTCTCCAGGTCTCAGTTTTCTTCATCCACAAAGTGGGGGTAAATTACCTGGGCCTCATATCGAGGAGATGGGATTGGACGACCCTCCAGGAAAAAGAGTGAAAAATTGAAAGAAAAAAAAAAGGAAAAATTGACTTTCAAGACCCACTACAATCGGAGGGAGGAGTGGGAAGGATTGAGTCAGTTGATAGGGTGTTGGGGATATGGATACAAAGAAGTGGCAGGCCCCCATTGGTTTAAGCTGGGTCTTATTGCCACCTGGTTTCCTCCCCGAAACTGCCCACACCCCAGTCCATACAGAGCCCTGCCCCACCACTGAGAGACAATGAGGTTTCTGCTGCTGCTGCTGCTGCCGTTTACTGGCTGGGCCCCCCCAGGGAGCCTTGGACAGGGAATCCCCCAAGAAACCATCACAGCCACATCCCCTCATTTTGATGAAGAAGAAAAATATTCAACCCACATGCCCCAACATCTGCGCTGTGATGCCTGCCAAGTCATTTCTTACCAGGTAAGAATGTTTCCCACTCCTACCTCCAGACTCTCACCCACCTAGCAGTTCCCCTGAGCCCCACACCAAGGACCAAAGTTTGGGGGAGCAGGGCCATGTGGGGTACACATTTCAAGCTGAGCCCTGGAAAATGGGGCTCCAGAAAGGCACAAGGTTAGAAATGTCTCCTTCCACAGGCCAAGATGATGACAGACTTGCATGTCCTGGTACCCTGTTGGCTTGAGTTGATTCATTCCCTCTCCATAGCCTCACAGTTGCATGCCTCAGTTTACTCTTCTGCCAGGCGAGAAGTAGACACATGTAACATAAATGCGAAAGGGCTTTGGAGCTCAAGTAAACCATTAAGGATGAGGGTGGAAGAGATAGTGCCGGTGGATTTTCTCATTTGAGATTTTTGGCTTTTTTTTGTTGTTTATGTTTTTTGGGGGGTGGGGGCAATTCTTAGATTATTTTTTTGATCTGCATATGCCTAGGGAGAGTGAAGAAAGGCCACGTGCTTATTTGTGTGTTACGTGTCACTAAGAGCTTCTTCCTTCCCTTGGGGACCCTTTGAACACCTGGCATCTGGGCCTTTTCTGTTCTGATCCCTCCAGGGTTAAGAATGCCCCATGCAAATCGCCCGGTATTTCAGAGCACCAGGCAAGTTGGCCTTGGGGAAAGTGAGGAATGATCCCCTGGAGCCAGGGTCACCTGCAGGATTTGGTGACTGGCTTAAGGTTTAGTGCCTCTCACTCTTCCTCCCCTCCTACACGTCAGAATCTTGGCCCTTGGGGAAAACCCCGGCAGCCAAAGCTGGGGTTTCTGCATCTTCAGCTGAGGAGTTCTCTCTCAAGCTGCTCCCAAGGAGAGAGGGAGCTAATTCACCGCTTCCCAAATTTCCTCTCCCCTACTGCCCCACTGGGCAGGGGCCCAGACTCCCTCTCTGTTTCCTTCTTCCCTGTTTATTACTAAGACCATTCCAGTGCCTAAAATCAGGGGAATGAAGGGGAAGGAGAGGCAAGGAACCAGTCCTTCACAGGTGCTTTCTACAGACATAGATCGGCCCCACCGCAACCTGCAGCTATACTTAGCCCAAAACTACCCCTAAGGGCCCACTGTGGGGGGAACCAGGAGCCTCCTCTCATAAATACTGCCTACCCCCACTACTTACCCAGTTCCAATTCCTTCCTCCTCCGTTTCCCAGCTTTCAAATATTGGCTCCAAAGTTAGTGTCTCCCCTGTTTCAGATGTGGAAGCATCTGACTGAAATGGAGACCAAGCAGCTGAGCCATAAGGCCGAGGGGGCTTCTTTGAGCGAGTCTGAATACACCGATGTCCTGGAGAAAAGCTGTTCTCAGAGTTGGAAGAAGTGAGTTGCCCTTCACCCATCTCAAGCCATGCGTTCCCTCTCTCTCTCAGAGTCCTCAGACCTCTCCAGGAGCAAGGGGGAAGAAAGAGAAGAAATGACCACCAGGGGATTGGGTTGAGATGCTAGGATGGCGGGGGAGGGAGGGAGAGGGGGAGAGTTCCTAAAATGGATTGTCTGATCTTCCTCCTTAATGATGCCCACCAACACACACACACACACACACACACACACACACACACACACACACACACACACACACGGCTTCTGCTGGCCTGATGGTGTGTCCAGTCTTGAGCATTGCCACACTGAAAACGGGAAAAGAGCTACTCTGGGGGACTCAGCAAGCTATATGGGGGATACAGGCCCAGGATGGATCCCTTTCCCCCAGCACTCCTCAACCTGCCCCCTTCTAATACCTGTTCTCTGCCTCCTCATGATAATCTCTGCCACCAGTTACGGGGTCCGAGAAGTAAACAAGGTGAAACGCTTTGTTGGCCCAGGGTTGGACGACGACGACATGGTGGGCATCAGTGTGATGATAAGTGGAGGCCCGTGGCCAGGCAGGTAAAGACCCCCATTCAGGGGTGGGAAAGCAGTAAACAGGGCACTCTACCAAACACAACAATAAATGTTTTTCAAGCATTTACTATGTACTGGGTTCTAGGGAGATAGAAAGCTTAGATAAGTCAGGATCCCTGGCCTCAATGAGATTACAGCTTCATGAGAGGAAAAAGACACCAAGCCTGGTAGCTAGATTCCACGATATTCCACAAAAAATTTGCTGGCAGGTACAAAACAAAGTACTGTTGGACATCTGAAAAGGAAAGTAATGACCAACTGGGGCAAGCTTAGGGAAAGCTTCCAGGAGAAGGTGGCATTTGCATGGTGCTTTGAAGGATGGGATGGAGTGTATTCAGCAGGATGAGAGAGAGCACAGGTTATACTGAGGAGTAGAGGATAGTCAAGGGTGACTTGGAGGAGGGGAGTGAGATAAGAAAAAAGTAAGGTGGCACTTGACTGTGGAGGGGCATGAATGCCAGGCAAAGGAATTTGAACTCTAGTCTAGTGGTAATAGGGAGCCACTGAAGATTTTGAGCAGGAGTGATGTGACTAATTCTAGATGGAAAGGGGCTTGGACCTGTGATTTTCTCAACACAGGGAACTCTCAGATGAGGAAACTGTCTGTACCAATATGAGTTAGCATCTTCCCTGTAACTCATAGCCTTAGAGAATTGCCTAGCACCAAGTGGCTGAGTAACTTACCCAGGGTCACATAGCCTCCCCTGAGGAAGGGTCCAGCAGGCCGGGAAGAGCAACAAGGAGGAGATGACTCAAGTACGTTGGGGATGCACATTTTCTGCAGAAGCTTAAGTATTTCTCCCTCATAGAAGCAAAGATCTCTCAAATTGTCAGATCTAGAAGGAACCTCACAGAAACTTACAAATGGGGAAGTTGAGGCCCTGCAAGGGGCAATGCAGGGTCACACACCGTCTAGCCAGAGCTAGAACCCAGATGTCTTTCCTCTCAGTCCAGTGCCCCACCCCTGATACTACACGGTCCCTCTTGTTTGCTGCCCCTCAAAATGAGGGCAAAAGGCCAAGGGAGTTATTTGGGGCCTGGCAGATGGAAAGTGCTTGGGGCCATTTCACCCACCTCTTCTGCTTCCCCTACCCTGCAGGCTCTTTAAGATGTGTCATAACTACCTGGGAGAGCTTGGCGAAGATCAGCTGTATGGGGAATACAGGCAAGGGGGCCGAGAGGCCCTGGAGAGGCTGTTGTGCAAAGACACCTGTCCAGAAGAGGAGATGTCTGGCCAGGGGGAGTTCCTCCGGAAGGAGCTTTAGCTTCCCTCATTCAGGAGAGAGGTCTTTGTGGACCGAGGATGTGGGTCCAGCTGACCTCTGTGAATAACAGGACTTTCTCTCCCTTCAGTTTGCAAAACCCACAGAAGCCTCATTTCCGGGAACCACCTCCATCCTTGGCTCTGCTTGGATGAAGGCCCTTCCTCAACCCTCCAGGGGGAGGGGGGAGGGAGCACTCTCTCCCGGGGCCCTGGGTGGATGATAAGGGAAGCCAGAGTTGTATCTTAGACTTCTTTCCCCATCTGTGAATTACAGATCATATATCTCCCTTTTGTCCTCCCTCTCTCCCCTTACCCTTACCCCTTCTTCATCCCCTGACTCTTCCTCTTCTTCCTTCTCTTCCCCATTAGGGTGTCCTGGCTCCAGTTTCTGATGGGGGAGGGGCAGGCAGGAGAGGATGTTTTGGGGTCTTGCAGCCATCCTGTCCTATTATCATCTGGTCCGCCAGACTTCAATAAAATAAAATATCCTCTCCATTTTCTTCAATGATCCTCCAAGAATAGTAAAAGCACTCACAAGGACATAAGCTTTTGTCTATATTTCACTGTTGATGTTGAGATTTAACATACCCCGCCACGTTGGTTTTCAGAAGTGGGCAGGAGATAAGGATAGATTTCTCAGAATCCACAACTAGCCAGCTTTCAAAACCTGTGCCAACCTGACCTTCCCCTAGGGGATGGGTTGGAAAGAGTAGATGCCCAGGCACAGAAGTTGGGATGTGCCAGGGGAGGGCCTTTGCCAAATGCCATGTTTTCTCAGCAGCTCAGTGTTTCCTTTTAACCCTAATGCCCCTTTTGGCTTCTCAGGTAGAGGATTGGGGTTCCCTTCCCCGAGAGAAGAGAAATTAAGGCCACCAAGTCTGCATGGATCTGATTCCCGGGCTCTTTCCCTAACCCAAAGAGAGGAGCCGATCTTGTAAAAGATTGTAATCAAATAGTGGGTTTTGTCATGGAGCCCTTGTTAGTGGGACCAGAATGAAAAGTGTGATGGGTTAAAGGAAAGCTACCCTGGAGAAGATGGGTCTTGAAAAGCGGGTGGGATTCCAACAGGCAGTATGGTGAGGGGAGGGCACCTTAGCTGGGGAAGATAACGTTGGTGGTGTCCTGGGAAAGTCTGGGGCTGAAAGAAGGGCAGGGATCTGGGACAGATTTATTCTGAATCAACCCCGGTATTCCGTGGTCTGGAAACATTTCCCCACCCATCACTGAGATCTGTCAGACCACATAACCTCCATTGCCTAAGGGGACATGATACCCCTTAGGGATGGGGCAGTCTCAGGCTGGTTGTCACCCACACCATCCTATCTCTGAACAGCCCCAGGGGAATACTTAGACTGAGACAGGCAGTTAGAGGTAAGACCAAAATTGTGTTCCCAGTATGAGCCAGCTAACCTGTGCCCAGGGGTTACAACCACTGCTATTACCCTTGAGGACAGGATGCTTAGGGCAGTTGTCATGCAACAACCTACAGCTCTATCTACTTTTTTCAGGGGAATTGCTTCTAACCCAGGGACCTAGGGAAGCGGAGGGCAGGATTGTAAAGGTCATCTAACCATTAGGGACTTACTGTGCATAGGGATAAGCATATCACTAGGACTGTGCAGACATTTACCAGATCATAGGGTTTAGAGCAGGAAGAAAACATCAGAGATCATTTAGTCCATCATTTTACAGTTGAGGAAACTGAGGCCCTTAGAGGTTAAATGACTTGCCCAAGGTCACTGAGGTAGGAAGTAGAGTTGATATTTGATGCATATCCCCCCTAACTTTGTGAATGGCTGGGGGCTGTGTAGATGGAGCCTTTCCAGATACACTATCTGAGGGGGCAGCTAGGTGGTGCAGTAGATACAACACCAGCCCTGAAGCCAGGAAGACCTGAGTTCAAATCCAGCCTCAGACCAAAGACTTGATACTTACTAGCTGTGTGACCCTGGGCAAGTTACTTAACCCCAATTGCCTAAAATAAAACAAACAAACAAGAAAGATATACTATCTGAGCTGAGCCCCCTCCTAGGGACAGATGCCAGAACTACTAGTCAAGCTGACTCTGCCACCCTAGCTACTATCCTTCTCAGCCATAGAGATGAGTCAATCAGGGGCTTTCCTAGTGCCTGCTTAGATTCCTCCTGGCTGGCATGACTGTGCATTGTACATGCCCGTGTGCATGCATACACACCCCCCCCACCTGTTCCAGGGCCTGTCCTGGGCTCTTCCTTTCCTGGCTAACACCCCAAAAGAGGATACTACCCCCTTCCTTCTCTCACCCCCCACCACCATCCCAATCAAGAGTGAGCAATCAAAACACAGGAAGAGCTGGGGGGCAATAAACTGTCAAAAATTACAATGCAGGCATTTGTATACCTGAGCCTGTGATCATATAGGGGTGCGTGTGTGTGTGTGTGTGTGTGTGTGTGTGTGTGTGTGTGTGTGTTATCTGGTCTATGAGGAGGCAGGGTTTTCCTGTTTCCATAACCGCCTGCGGAGCAGTGGAGGCGAGTGGAGGCTGGGGCAGGATTGGGGGGGTGGTGGAGGAGGAAGTGCAGTGTGGCATATACAAACATACATCCATCTATCCATCCATACACCCTTGGAGAACTGGTCAGACTACTTTGGGGCAGCTGAAGCAATCTGGTGGCGGGAGCCAGCTCGGACAGGTGGATCAGGCAACAGATGGATAACTCAATGAAGCTGCTGCTTGACTGGGGAGCTGTCTTCCCGCTGACTCCTCTAGGGAGACCCTGGCCCTGTTGTCGGCAAAACAGACGTAGGTCCTCCCTTTGGGCTTTGGGGCTTCAGTTGAGCAGGGGAAGGGGAGCGGAGGTTCCAGGGTCATGCCTGGTGAATCAGAATGGAAGAAACACTCCCATCGCTGTTCCTGTCCTGTCCTCCTGCTTCAATGAACCAGATTGTCTTTTTGTTTGTTTTGTGAGGCAATTTGGGTTCAATGACTTGCCCAGAGTCACACAGCTGGTGAGTGTTATGTGTCTGAGGTCAAATTTGAACCCAGGTCCTCCTGAATCTAAGGCCAGTGCTCTATCCACTGTGCCACCTAGCTGCCCCAATGGACCAGATCATCAAGAAGAGAATTAGAGATGTAGATCCAGGTGACTCCATTGTCTAATCTCTCACGCCAGGGATTCCCTAAACCTTTCCCCAAAAGGGCCTCATCAATCTCCATCCACCCCCCTCAACCTAGGTTCTATGCTGGTCCCAGCCCCTGCCAATGGGTCTGCTCCCTCTCTTTAGCCTTTCTGTCTCCCTCTGCTTTGGCCCCTGGGCTGAACCGGAGACAGGAAAAAATCTGAGAACCTTTTCCTTCCCTCCCCCCACCCCAGCACAAGGCATATTTGGAGTTGAAGAAGGACTGATCCTTCTTGTTCACTCAGTGGCCTCTGGGTTCCCCTTGTTGAGGAAAAGCTGGAAAGGGAAGAAGGGGGAACTGAGTCCCCCTGACCTCTGTGGACAAGAAGAATCATCATCACTACTGGTTATTTTTCTCATCTGACCTTCCAAAGAGCCCTGTGAAGGAGGCAGGGCAGGGCTTAGAACCTTCCCTTGCTAAAGCATGAAACAGAATCTCACATACAGTGATGGCTTAATCTTACTAGACAGGGCTAGATCTCTGAATCTCCCTCCAGATCTAAATCTTCTTATGTTATAAAGAGCTTCTAATGCTCATTATAGAAGCTAAGAAGAACTGGGTTCAAATCTAGCCTCAGACACTTATGACCCTGGGCAAGTCACTTAACCGCTCTTCAGCTCAGTTTCTTCATCTGCAAAACAGGGATAATAATAGCACTCACCTCCCAGGTTTATTGTGAGGCTCAAACGAGATCATGCCTGTGAGAAACCTTTTGCAAAAACTTGAAGTGACATATAAATTCTAGCTATTACTAACCTAGAGGTCATAGAATGTTAGCCCTGGAAAAGACCTTAAGTACTATATATTTCAACCCTCTCATTTTACAAATGAGGAAACTGAGGCCTAGAGAAGGGAAGTGACTGACACAAGGTCACACAGAGCCAAAGGATGAGTCCAAAGTTCTCCTGAAAAGTGCTCTTAACGCTAATTTCACTAGAACCCAGGCCTACTGACCTGTGATCAGGTTGCCTGTCCACCATACCACTATCTATCCTAAGGGTTGGAAACAAAGGAGAAACGACTCTTTGGGAGGGAGGGGGCTAGGAATTCCACCTCTTCCAAGCAGCCTCTCCCCAGGTTTCCGTTTCTGTGTAGCACAATGAACCAGAACCTTATGAAGTTAAGAGACTATGCTAAGTTCCTTCAGGGACAGGAAACAGGTTTATTCACCTTTGTTTCTCCCTCAGCGTCTTTCATACCGAAAGTATTCCATAAATGTTTGGTGGATGAAGGAATGAGCACTGTGGTTCCCACCCTGCCCCCTCTTCCTTCCTAACGGGCCATGGAGCTTTGACCCTGGGCAGGTGGGACCAAGGGACATGACCTTTGCCAGGGTACACCCAGCGGGGGAGTTAATACATTACCTCCCCTAAGACTCCACTTTCGCAATCTCTGGACTTGGGGCTCTAGTTACAGATTTACTTCTGAGCGATGTCTGTGATGTTTGGACTAAAGTCCTCAGAGCTATACAGGTGTTCTTATCCTCTCCTTTTCCCCGTCCCCAGGCACCTCCCAGCCCTGCATCCAAAGGATGGGGACCCAGGAGGACCACACAGCTCTAGCCCAGGTACTGGGGGACCAGAGAGAGTCAGGATAGTGGGGCAGGGGTGAGGCGGCTGGCGTAGGAGAAGGGAAGTGACTGTTATCTCCTCCCTAGGTAGGGACCGCAGAATCTTGGCTGACCTGGGAGGCTGGGAAGAACATCAACTTTCAGGGTTGTCGAGGGGTGTGTGTGTGGGGGGAGGGTGGGATGGGGCGTGTGTATGAGGGCTTTGGGCCCTGCCGTGAGAAGTGTTTGAATTGGTGGAGTAAGTAGAATTCTCACTTGTGAAGAAGCCCCAGTGTTGTTGGGGGAGTAGAAGGGCCCCTTGGGAAGGTAGACACTGGGAGGAACGTGGGGGTAACGGGGATCTTTGGGGAGGGCTACAGTAAATCCTAACTACTTCCTTCCCTGTCATTTTAAATCTGGTCCTACATGCCTTGAAACTAATGGAAGAGTCTCTGAGGTCCAGCAGAGGGGGGGGGGGGCCCTGGGGGAGGGTAGTCCTGAATCCAGAGGCAGTGCCCCACCCTCACAGAAGGCCCTTTGGCTGCCTTCTCAGTGAATTCAATGGAACTCTCCTCTCTTGCCTTGACTGGGGTGACATGGGGTGATGACAGGGACTTGGACACAGGCCTTTTCCCTGTGGGCGTCCTGGGCAGCCTTAGGCATTTGAAGATTTAGATGGCTTGTCCTTGTCATTGCATCCCTGAACTTTCGAGTAAGAAATGGGATGCCTGGAAACTGTGCCTGTGGCCTGCTCTTTCTGCTGAGGAGAACAACCCTGTAGGGTACCCAATCAAACAATCAATATTTATTTATTTATGTTCTACTGTGCCTACTGA